TATTTTTTCTCCATAGTTGAGGAAACTTTGAAAGGGATTAGATATATGAAAGTCTAGAAAATAAACATGTAGAAATTACTTGTGAATGCTCAAAAATCCCAAAGGACAAAAGGCTGGTTTAGAGAATATTGGTTTCTGTCAAAAGGCTTTGGATGATTTGGAATAAGAGGTAGGTGAAGACACTTGGTGGGCTCATGGCTCATACTCATTTGGAAAGCACAGCTCTGGTCCGCCCTCCCTGTCTCCTCTTCCCCACCTCTGTTGCGAAAACATCTTCCTCCGAAGACAGGCAGGAAGAGAATGTGGATGGGAACCGCGTGTCAGCTGGAGCGGCAGAGCAGTGCTGCAAGGCAGATGTTGTCAAACACAGTTACTGCTGTGCAAACGGAACGAGAGAAAATGCCCTGGAGAAACCTCAGCTTTGAATGTGAAGTAGATGCGATGCTCAGTATTGTCGCCTTGGATAAACCACAGGCGGAGATGCGTAAATGAGAGCATAGCAGGGAAAGCCGCAAAGAACGACTGCCCCGCGCTTAGTTCTGTATGGGTCATGGAGACTGAGACTTCCTTATCCACACGAAATGAATGGAGCCTAAGAATCTATTTATAGAGGGAAAGTGATGCAGAAAAAACATTTTCTTAGGTAATTCAGCCAAGGGTCTGCTCCTGAAGGCAAAAGGGGGTTTCAAAAAACTTGGGTTATTTATGCAATCATCTCTTAGATTGAACCACATAAAATTGCCTCTATTGACCACTTTGACCTACAAAAATGGCAATTTTATATGGTTCCACTAACAAGTTTGAGGTCACTGTATTACTTTGCTGGACAGTTCCCCAATTTCATGTTACGACTAGACAGACCTAAGTCTAGAAGGCCTGAAACTTTATCTGTCTGCCTATCTACCTATCTATCTATCTTAGTTTCCTGGGGCTGGCCTAACAAACTGCCACAAACTGGGGGGCTTAAAACAACATAAATTTATCCTCTCACAGTACTGAAGGCCAGAAATCCAAAATCAAAGTGCTGGTAGAGTTAGTTCCTTCTGAGAGCTCAGAGGGAGAATCTGTCCCATGCCTCTTTACTCGCTTCTGTTGACAGCCAGAAATCTCTTAAAGTGACTATCTCTATGCACACACATGCACACAAATATGGGGAGAGAGAAGGAAAGCAAATACAGCAAAAAATGAACCACTATAGAATGCAGGGCCGTATGTTAGTGTCCATGCTGGTATTTCAACATTTCAGATATATGAACATTCCCATCATGAAAAGTTTGGGGAAAAACACAATTCAACATCGAGATCCTGTTCAGCATAATCGAACATTTCCTCTGGCTATTCAGAAAGCATTTCAAGATCTTGCAGTCTCTTAATGTTATGATAAACATCACTGACTCTCTATTATAGATGTATTGAAGTGCCAGAAAGTGATAATTGAACCAACTTTTTATCGCACCAAAAAAAAACCTGGACGTTTCCTGTAACAACATCATTTTTCTCATTGTGTCATTAATGGGGATAAGCTTTGACAGTAGCAAGTCAGTAAACAAGAGAGGAAAATGTATTGAAGTGCTTTTTTTGTTGTTTATCTCTTTGATTTTTTTTTTTTCCGCTTAGCCATGACTGATCCTTGTACTAAGGAAGCCATCAAATCACTAGGTGTGGCATTCATCCTCTCCTCTTGGGTGGGGGTGGCCTAAGTGCAATTTCTGTTGTCAGTAAATACCTCATTATCTTGTACATATTAACTAATTGGCTTGCAGTTATCGGTGGAACTTTTACTACGAACTTTGTAAATCATGAGTCAAGGGTGAAGGAAACAAGGCTAACTTTTTTCTTTCATGCATGAGCCCTTCATCGTCTCCATTTTGTGTGAAGAGGACATTGAAGTAGAAGAGAAAGATTTTACTAAGCTGCTTTGGAGCATTAAAGGAGTCTGACAAACATGGCTAGGGGGACAACCAGGGATTTACAAGATGTAACCTTTTTATTGATGTTATATGCTGAACTTATATATGAAAGGAAAAAAAAAACAGAGTCAAGAAAGTGTCAAAATTTGAACAGATTAAGCACGTGGAACCTTCAGCCTGGGCTGAATTTTGCTAAGTTAAATGGAATCCCAACTTTTGAAGAATGACACATAGAGTCACTGTTTTAGGAGTGATTCAAGTGAATTATACTTTATCTTTTTTCCTTAGGAGCACATACCTCAGGGTGTATCTAAATGATCACACTTCAGCCCATAAATTTGACTCATTTTCAAGAACTGATTGAGATTTAAGAAATTTATAGGTATTCTGACTCTCCTAAGAATGGCTGTGCAGTAGGGGGGTGATATCACAGGACCCAGAGCCAGACAGATTGAGTTTAGGATCACATCTTCCACTTACTAACTGTCTGACTTTACAAGTTACAGAATGTCTCTCAATCTCAGTTTCATCTGTAAAAGGGTTTAAGAACATCTAGCTCACAGTGTTTTAGTGAGGATTAAAACACAAGAATTTATGTAAGATATTTTCCAGTATACAGGAATAAATGTAATAAGGTACAGGTAATAAAGGGGGAACATTTCTTGTTATTAATTGTAATAAGTCTGCACAGATATTTTATAATAGTACCAGTTCATTCTATGCAATTCTAATGTTCTCATTAGCTTGAGTTAAAATCGAGCAAGATTAACACCAGACTATTATTGTACACTTCTGTATGAATAAAATTAATTATGCTGTTTTGGGGATGCTTTAAAAGTTACCGCTAAAAATAGGCATATACTTTACTATTGTATCAGTAAAATTTAATGTGAAATGCAATAAAGATTTCTGATCGTATGACCTCCTACTTAGGCAAATCTTGGATCCCTGGCATTCCTAGATTTAGAACACTCTCCATCCTATGGCTCTTTTCTGATTCTTACCTTTGGAGCAGTGTGCCTAGATCCACAATACAGAAGCAGTTCCAAATCTAATTTTTGTTGTATTTTAGTTGTAATAATATAAAGTTATCTATAGATTTCTGGAAAGGATTTCTTGAGTAATTTAAAGAACATTCACTTAATAAATGACTCAGAATTTTATCAAATTTTCCATAAGTATTAGTTTGGCCTTTTATCCTCATCTTAGTAAATGGAAGAATCACATACTGTGATTTGCTAATCATTTTATGAGTTAGTTTTTAACTTCCATTCATTTTTTCTT